GCTTCTTTCGGAACCCCAAAATTACCTCTCCTTCTCTAATGTGCAGGGAGTAGCGTATTATTCACTCCACGTTTGCACTTTTCTCCCACTCAGACCGGTCATTGTCAGCGTCAGGACAAGCTCAGGAAACGTTGGTAATCCCTGAGCGCTTACCGCGAACGAGTATAAATAAGGGACGTTCGATTCGCAGCAGTTAAAATTCAACTCTTAAAGTACGAGTTACTTATGTAATCTCTTTTTTAACTTGTTTTTATGCAAGCGTGAACTCGGGCGCGTGATTCTGATTAACGTGCCAAAATTGTCTAATCGCAGGAGAAAATACCATGATGATGTGTGAAAAGTTATCCATGTTGATGTTTGGATTATTCCTTGTGATTTTTGTAACATTTGCCTATCAGGTGAGATTGAGACTCGAACTTCGAACTTGAGATTTTTCCAAAAATGAATAAGACAATTCTGTGTCTAAGAGAGAAAGGAAAAAATGGAAAATCTGAATGAATCGAGAAGGAAAGAAATAATTTAACACTCTGATAAGGTGATTGAGAATATTTTAACGATTGTATTCAATTTGCCCTTGGTATTAAATAGGTAACAGGTCGAGAAGAGTCTTCGAGTTATTATACCGCAGCGGTTGTTGCACATACGCCTTTTTTGAAAGAAGACAATGGTCCATTGACTTTAAAAGAGAACGCAGACGCGTACATCAAATACATAGAAGAAGCTAGCCAACATGTGAGTCTGCAATCTTCGTACGTTATCAGCCGTCCGGTGATACTCATTTATATAATCCGGAGAGATTTCTCAAACTGATAAATGTCTACGGTCGAAAATTCCTGTAGGGTGCGGATATTATCGTATTCCCGGAAAGAGGTCTCACATCAATGTTGGTGCCGGATAGACCGCAAATGGATCTATGGACGACGGTGATCCCTTCCGCACAAGATGAATATGTTCCTTGCACAAGGAGTGACATCAAGGATGTCAGTGAAGTAAGTATATGTATATTCCTCTGTTTTTAAAAACTAGTTGTAGCTTATTTACTTTAATCCAAGGTTTCTCATTTAGCTATTCTTGGTATTGATAAGAAAATAATTGCGGCTATTAGAACGCTATGTATTTGTGGAAATCGAAATTACTTTTTTGCCAATTCATCATTTCCATCTAATCTAATGCATTTTTACTCAAAATTAGAGTAAAAAAGAACAGTCTAGTTGTATAAACGCACTCATACTTTGCTAAATACATTTTACGCTACTTAACATTACGTGTATACGTAGAAAATGTAATATAACGAAAGTAAAGATCGAGCAAATGAAGTGCACTGTACAACGTTAGTTAGGTTTCATTTTGAAACTAGCTTCCCGCGGTGTGCCGTTTCACTCTTAGAGTTTTCAGCTTTCGACCCTAGCAGGGAGACAATGGGAAGAGAAGTCCTGAATTCTGGCAGCCCTACGAAATATTAATAATCCTTGAATTATTGAACAAACCGTATTGTAAACGTAGTCAAATTTTTTTTTAGACTTTGAGAAATTGTCTCAGCTTTATATTGCATAGTTTTTTGTTAACATCTTAATTGTCTTTCGATATGATATCTAACTTTTAAGTAAACTTTGTGTTTATTTTTTCGAAATCTATGTATTAATTCCTTAGGAGGATGAACCTCCTTAAATAAGGTACACGTTGCCCATCTTTTAGATGCTGGGAACCAGAATTTCGCACACCCTGAGCGGAAAACGGGAGCGGAAAACGCAGTGTGACAAGACCGTAAAAGGCGAACAGACACACATGCAAATGTCTTTTAGTAATTGTATATAAACAGGAAAATGATTGAGTTTCAAAGTGCGTTTATATTAATGGCACTCGCTGTATAATAAATGCCCCAATTTAGGTTCATATCATAATTTCTGCTGACTGATTTGTAATTGCCTATACAAATAAATTAATAGGTACAAAAAATTATGTGAAATTGGGTCATTTACTATGTCTCTATTTCTCGTGTCTCAAAGGAAAAGCATGTTTTGATCGACAGCCACTATCTTGTACCTCGTTGCCCCAAAGAATATTTCAGTTATCCTCGATTCGAAACGATTCACTGCGTTTATTTTTCATAGACGTTGACGAGACTGTCATGCGCAGCCAGAAAAAATCGTATATACGTGGTGGTGAACATCGCCGAAAAGGATGGTATATATTATCACAACTCCAACGTTGTGTTTGATCGAACAGGAAAGATAATCGCAAGGTAATGTTAGTATAACTGTCTATCGATTGCGATTGAAGTACTTTTTCCTTGACACGAACAGGTACCGGAATGTGAATGTGTACGAAGAACCGTCGTTCGACAAACCGACAGCGGAAGTCGTCACGTTCGACACCGACTTCGGTGTAAAATTCGGTATATTGATAGGCTTCGATACATTATTCTCCGAACCGGCTCTGAACTTGACGAGAATGCTAGACGTTTCGAACATCGTGTATTCATTCGCCTGGTACTCCGAGGTGCCTTTCTTAACACGTAAGCTAAGACAACGAAGTGCATATAACAGTTGTGATTAGAGTAGCAGATTCTTGAAAATGTTATCTCTCCAGCTGTGCAAGTGCACGCCGGATGGGCCTATTCGTACGACGTCAATCTACTAGCAGCCGGGTGTCACAATCCGGAATGGGGAAGCAGTGGCAGCGGCATTTATTGGGGTAATGCGTTTTAAAATTGTATAAAAATGATCCATTCCTCTCATCGTTATTTCGTATCTAGGTCGTGACGGAGTAAGAAACATGACGATGATCAGCAATCTGAAGCATCGGCTTCTGATCTCTCGAGTCCCAAAGAACCGGAACCCGCAATCGTGCGCCGCGGACACCGAAGGAGACTGCACGACAACGACTCATAACTACATGCCACCTCTTCCAGACTGGCACAAAACATTCGACTATAATGAGATAAAACTATATCACGTCGAATTCACAGAGTTTGGATACGTTCAGCTAAATGACACGCAGTTGGCCCAGACCATTTGCCAGAACAACCTTTGTTGTGACTTCGATATTAGTGCAGAGGGCATCGATTCCACGCCCGTTAATTACCGCGCTGTAGTTTTTGACGGAATTCGACCCTACGGATATACCTTGGTTGGCGGCGCTCGTGTATGCGGTCTGATACAATGTGCCAACGAGTCGATAACTTCTTGCGGTTCCTTTATGCAGACGAATACTACTTTTACCCATGTGACTATTCGAGCGACATTCGGTGAAGATTATTCAAGTACTATAACGTTCCCTAGCGTGCTGAATCCTGCGTTATTGCCCTTCGATCACTGGACGTTCACCGAGGAGGAGGATGGTAACCAAACGATCGTAACTATGATTCTGACGGAGCCTACATCAGAACTCGTGACTTTCGGTACATTCAGTAGAGTCTTCAGCAGAGACAAATGGATCCTCCCTTGATCCTGGGCTCACATGCCTTTCGACTGATACAGCATGTATCGAAGTTTTAAATAAAGCTTGAAGATAACATTGACACAAGTTAACGTTGTTTATTTTACTGATCCTCTTTTTCCTTCTACGATGCGATCTCCACTTATGAAAACGACCATCAGTCTTGTGACGCATTATTTAAAACATTGTCACGCACACAGCGAGCATCTGCACGCATCTCGGTTGCATCAATTTGCTATTGGGAAGTGGTAGGTAGGGCCTATAGCTGGCAACTATATTGAAACCTGTACTTTTGGTCACTCGTTCCGCGGAAATCAGCAGATCCCTTAGGAGCATCCAGCTTTTACATGCTTTTCCGACTACGGTACTCCCTTCAAGTACTGCCCGCTTGTCCCTTGCGACTGTTCCTTATAAGTATTCCTTTAAAGTGGTCCCTCAGCTTCCTCCTAGGCCTGGATAACAATGGCGATTTCTCGGATCTGCGAATTTCGTTCTAATTTGAGTACAATATTCTACAAACATTCAACTAACATTTTATATAAGAACAAAATGAGTCTTTTAAAAATTATCAGACTCAGAGGAATCACCGAGGACATACGAACATTTGCCGGAGGAGGGGGAACACGTTCTCTGTCACGTTTCCCTCCACGAGCAGTAATTGAATACGACAGAAATTAGACGATAACACTTCTTTCGGAATCCCAAAATTACCTCTCCTCCTCTAATGTGTAGGGAGTAGCGTATTACTCACTCCACGGTCGCACTTTTCTCCCACTCCGACCGGTCATTGTCAGCGTCAGGGTAAGAACAGGGAAAGTTGATAAATGCCCGTGCACTTGTCGCGACCAAGTATAAATAACAGACGTACGATTTACTGCAGTTGGAATTCAACTCTTAAAGTATGAGTTACTTATGTAACCGCTTTTTTAACTTCTTTTTATGCATACGTGAAGTCGTGCGCGTGATTCTGATTAACGTGCCAAAATTGTCTAATCGCAGGAGAAAATACCATGATGATGTGTGAAAAGTTATCCATGTTGGTGTTTGGATTATTCCTTGTGATTTTTGTAACATTTGCCTATCAGGTGAGATTGAGACTCAAACTTCGAACTTGAGATTTTTTCAAAAATTAATAAGACAATTCTGTATCTAAGAAAGAAAGGAGAAAATGGAAAATCTGAATGAATCGAGAAGGAAAGAAATAATTTAACATTCTGATAAGGTGATTGAGAATATTTTGACGATTGTATTCAATTTGCTGTTGGTATTAAATAGGTGACAGGTCGAGAAGATTTCTCGAATTATTATACCGCAGCGGTTGTTGCACATACGCCTTTTTTGAAAGAGGACAATGGTCCATTGACTATAAAAGAGAACGCAGACGCGTACATGAGATACATAGAAGAAGCTAGTCAATATGTGAGTCTGCAATCTTCGTACGTTATCAGCCGTCCGGTGATACTCATTTATATAATCCGGACAGATTTTTCAAACTGATAAACGTCTACGGTCGAAAATTCCTGTAGGGTGCGGATATTATCGTATTCCCGGAACATGGACTCACGTCAGTGTTTGTGCCGGATAAATCGCAAATGGATCTATGGAGAACGGTGGTCCCTTCCGCACAGGATGAATACGTTCCTTGCACAAGGAATGACATCAAGGGTGTCAGTGAAGTAAATATATGTGTATTCCTCGGTTTTTAAAAAGTATTTATAACTTATTTACTTTAATTCAAGGCTTCTCATTTAGCTATTCTTTGTACTGATAAAAAATAATTGCGGCTATTAAAACGCTATGCATTTGTGAAAACCGAAATTAGTTTTTTGCCAATTCATCATTTCCATCTAAACTAATGCATGTTTACTCAAAATTAGAGAAAAAAAGAACAATCTACTTGTGTAAATTTCGTACTCGTACTTTGGGTCCCTCGAAATTGGGTCATTTACTATGTCTCTGTATTTCTCGTGTCTCAAAGGAAAAGCATGTTTTGATCGACAGCCACTATCTTGTA